AGTGTAGGGTTGATAGAGCCTCCATTTTAGAGTAGATGATGAAAGGCTTTGTTTAGATAGGGGATGTGGACTGTCCTCTGCTTCACCACTCCTTGCAGGCAAGATGTTCAAACTGTGAGTGTTGCAGATTACTCAGATGGTGCTAAATAAAAATGGTATTGATTATGAAATAGACTGTGGTTCATACCACACTGTGGCATAATCTAAATGCAAAAGAGGAGTGAATGGGTTACACAGTTTTTTCACACTCACATTTTAGTCCTGCCTGTTTCCAACAAGATGAACTTTAACTTCCTGTCACACTGAATCCTTCTCTCATGTTCTTCTTTGTTGCTTTTTTTTTCTTTTTTGGTATTGTACTATAGCTTAATAAAATGCCAACCTTTAAAGTTGATAACGTTTTAGTGGTATTGAAAAGGCTCATTGGTTTGAGAGATCTAATGTGTGGTGAGAATTACTAAAGTTTGTGATTTAGTTGGTAAGGGAGCAAATGCAGAATTCGAAATCATGCAGAGTTCTTGGTCTGCATGGATTATTTTTACATTCCTCGGATTTTGTGCTTTCTGAGAAAGGTGTCAGATTCCAGAAAAGAAGTTGTCATTCTTAGATTACATTGCTGTGCCTGCCCAGACACAGTAGGGGCAAGGAAATGAAGTGCCTGGTTTTTGGCTCCTCCTTCCATATCATCAGATACACTGAGCTATGCTTCTTCCAATCTCTGCCCTGCTACGTAGCACTGCAAAGCAGTAGCCAGCAGAAGTAGCGTACAAGGAGTGTGTGTGTGGAAGAGGACTCTGTACAGCAGTAGCAACACAGGAGGCTTTACAGAAATAATCTTGTTTGGGTAGTGAAGTCAGAGGTAGACAGTGAGAGACTAAAATAGGGATGAAGTCTCTTGGAGAATTTTGAATGAGCAGTATTGAAAGGAATCAGATCTAGGGAGACACAGAAGGTGTAAGTCTGGAGGGAGGCCAGGTCTTGTGGCATTTATAGTGGGAAGTCTTAGAAATCTTGGACAGTAGACAGTCTTGGACAATCTTCAGGCACTTGAATGTGATTGGGAACTGGTCTTTGTGGAATCCATAGTGAAACAAAAGAGTCTGGAGGGGATCAGATTTTCTAGGGAGGCAACCTCAAAAATCAAGTGGTGAATCTTGGAGAAAGGTGAATGAAGGGTGTCAGTTCAGGGCACATGCCCTTGTATTCCTCCTCTGTGGTCCCTTGGGGGTACCCACTCTAGACTTCCAGCTCCTCAGCCATCCCCTGGTTTGCCAGGCTGCACAGTTCCCTGTCTACACCATGGTAATCTCCAGCAAACCAGACTGCCAAAACAAGCCCAGCCTCCACACTGTGCTTTTCTTCTGCAGGCTTCTAAACAGGATAATTGCTAGCAGCTCTAAATTTCTACAAAAGCCCTTTATGAGCAAGCACATTTAATCTTAAGATAAAAGCATTACAGAGAAAACATATAAAAACAATAAAAGTTCCTGTGTGTACGCTAACAGCTTACCAGAGCTCACCTATCCATCTTATGGTGGCTCAGTTGGCCAAAGTCCCTCCAGCCCTCCATGGGAATGATTGGCACCCAACCTGGACAGAAGCCCTGTCTCTGCTAGATCAGGAAGAAAGTCCTGAGTCAGTTTAATATCAACCTTTTTAACCACAAAATCCTTACCTTTTCTGGTGATCCTCTCCAACTAGTGGCAGCTCTCTGGAGGAATTACAAACTGAATGAATTTGCTTAATTGCTTCCCACTGTTCTTAAGACCTGGAAGAGCTGTAATATCACTCCTCCAGGGAATTACATTGGTGCACAACGATATATCATAGAATTATAGAATCATAGAATACTAGGACTGGAAGGGACCTCGAGAAGTCATCGAGTCCAGGCCCCTGCCCCCATGGCAGGACCAGATACTGTCTCGACCATCCCTGATAGACATTTATCTAACCTACTCTTAAATATCTCCAGAGATGGGGATTCCACAACCTCCCTGGGCAATTTATTCCAGTGTTTAACTACCCTGACAGTTAGGAACTTTTTCCTAATGTCCAACCTAAAGCTCCCTTGCTGCAGTTTAAGCCCATTGCTTCTTGTTCTATCCTCAGAGGCCAAGATGAACAAGTTTCTCCCTCCTCCTTATGACACCCTTTTAGATACTTGAAAACGGCTATCATGTCTCCCCCTCAATCTTCTCTTTTCTAAACTAAACAAACCCAATTCTTTCAGCCTTCCTTCATAGGTCATGTTCTGTAGACCTTTAATCATTCTTGTTGCTCTTCTCTGGACTCTCCAGTTTCTCCACATCTTTCTTGAAATGCGGTGCCCAGAACTGGACACAATACTCCAACTGAGGCCTAACCAGCGCAGAGTAGAGCGGAAGAATGACTTCTCGTGTCTTGCGTACCAAACACCTGTTAATGTATCCCAGAATCATGTTTGCTTTTTTGCAATAGCATCACACTGCTGACTCATATTCAGCTTGTGGTCCACTATAACCCCTAGACCCCTTTCTGCCATACTCCTTCCTAGACAGTCGCTTTCCATTCTGTATGTGTGAAACTGATTGTTCCTTCCTA